AAACTTCAAGCCCAACTCTTGAAATGGGCTTGACTTCACAATCCACTGCCCCTAGGTTCAAGAGGTATTTTTACTTTCTGATTTTCTTTATAATTTCCACTAAATTACTTTTTGTAAAGTTGTAGCTAACTTCCTTTCCTGCTTAGTTGAATTTTGCCTTATTTTTCAGCTCTCTTACGACATTTCCGCATCTCCCTACCTGGTTCTAGAGAGGGCTTTCACGCCCTTTGGCTTAAGTGTTTTGCTCTGCTATGGAATTCATTTCTAACCTGTCCTATCGTTATTTCCTGATTTTACAGATGAAATTCCATGACACCTCCACTAGCCCACCCCCTCCTGTCCCCCAAAATTTTATTACTAACCTCCTTCAGTAGTTTCTCTATCATGTGACAGTTTTAAGTTTGTGTCATACTTCTCTTTGTAGGGTAGGACTTTAACTGCTTTTTGCTGAATCCTGCATCCTCCTTATTTTGTCTGGTCCTAGGACCATAGCATGAAAAGCCTGTGAACTGAAGCTTGGCAAATTTAGGAACTGAACCAGGCCCAGGTGGCTGCAGCCTGGTGGTCAATGGGGAGGGTAAGCTGAGATGAGGGGGCAGGGGCCATACCATGCTGTGCCTTTTAGCCACTGGGTGAAGTGTTTGGGTTGTTTTCCAAATCATTTGGGAAGCCACTGGAGAGTTTTAAATATGGAAGGAATAGGGTTTAAATTGTGTCTTAAAAAGGTCTCTCCATCTGCTTCCATGTGGAGAATGGATTGTAAGATAGCAAGTATGTCAGTGTAGACAGGGGATAGGAAACTAATGCTAGAGTTCTGGAGAGAGGCGGTGATGTCTGGGGGTAGACATTATGAAAGATGTTATGTGTTTGTGATAATAACTTGGTCCATGAATGTTGTGGTCTAGTTATGGGGATAGGGGTGTTTCTTCACTAGCGAAGGAAAGGAACTTAAGACATTTACTGTTACTCGCCTTCATAGTTAGGTACAGAGTTTTGGCATTTGGGAAACAGAGTGAGGGTGCTTATCACTGTTGTACATTTTTAGTCAGGCATATATGACATTTATACCTTTCCTATGTACATTTGTGCCTTTACATGGATTCTTCTCTGTGCTTTGGCAGCCTTCCATGTGGGAACTTATGGCATAAACTATCTTTAAGGCTGGAATACCCATTTGTGTGTATGCTAGAGCAAATTCTCCCATGATTCACACAGAATGGCCACCACATAGTAGCTTTCCTATCTGTGGTATTGACACTATCACTGTCCTGCTTGAGTATTTTCTACAAGCTAGTCTAGGTATCTGCCACTACTTTAGTAGGATAAGGAAATATTATTCATGGTTGGTATGGTTACTTTATTCCCCAGAGAAGAGATTAACTTTCAGCAGGATGGAAAAAAGAACACAGGCAAAGCTTTAAATGGCCTTCTTAATTTAATTTTTGACTACTCATTTAGTTTTGACTCCTTGGTTATAAAGATAAAACACACACACACACACACACACACACACACACACACACACACACACACAATAACAGGGTGATTTGTGTAAGTTTTAAGTTTCTAATTCAGAGTATCACAGGTATATCAATATCAGTGATTTGTCTGACAGTGTCTAAGTCACTGCTCTCTGAGGGCCCAAGAAGTAACTCGCTGGTATTGAAGCGTTCTTTATCCTAGCTACGTGAGATGCTTGCGGTTCTTTGTCCTGTGCCTCCCCTTTCGCAGAGCAGTCCTCAGTTGGCTAGTGGGAGTAATGCAGTTGACAATGATACTCTTGGAATTCTAATTAGTAATTAACTTCCTTGAGTCTAAGAATGATACCTGACTCCTCTTAATGAGCCTAGTGTGGACAAGTGTCACGCCCTGAACTCCCAATCTGCAGATCCACAGCTGGTTATTGCTGGTAGTGCTGGCCACCTACAACCAAGGATATTTTGTGATTCCATAACCCCATGATCCCAGCCCCGCCTCCTCCCTGCTCCATCATGTTCCTCCATGATTACTCATCTCCAGTAACACTGAACCCATAGGTATGTCAATATACTCTAGATAATTACACATAGTCCTTTTTTTTATAGTCTATGCTTCCCACATTTTCAAAATTTTTAATAGAAACACTTTAAAGCTCACACACACACACAAAGCAACGATAAATTGTTGCATCTGGACCAGTGTTTCTCATTGGAGGGGATTATGGGCATTTTGAGTGCAATAACTCTGTTATATTAGACCATCACAAGTAGTACAGGACTTCATTACCTTCACCCACAGAATGCCAGTGGGATCCTCAAACTTTTAGGACAAGCCCTAACACCCCACACATAAAAAATGTGAATTATCCTATTAGATTGAAATCTTAACAAAACTTGCATATGATATTGGGGCATTTAATAACACTTAAGATTCACCTTACTTTTAGATTTAATTTATTGACTCTATAAGAACTAATTAAATACATGGGAAAATTTGTGCACTGTCAAACAATGCAGGTCTTAAAAAGGAAATTGTTGATATTAATAGATAAAAATGAATGTGATTTAAAGTGCTTAATTAAATTTGTAAATGGGACCAAACATCAATAAAGGGGCCATTAAAGGTAATCTTTAAAAAATCTCCTTTAGTTAAGATGCATATTAAAATATTTACAGGTGAAATGAAATTTGCTTTAAAATATCCTCATGGGGAAAATATGACAATATGAGGAGACCAGATGCAATTAAACAGACAAAATGTTAATTGCTAGACTTAAGAGATGGATATGCAAGCTTTGTATCATAGTCTCTTTTTGTCTAAGTACATTTAAAATTCTCAAATAAAAATACAAAGAAAGTGATTGTTAAAATTTTCTTGAAAGAACTTTGAAGTTCATAGACTTATGTGTTTTTCTTATATTCTTTCTATCTGGTAGGGATATAAAGTTCTTACAGATGATATCTAATTGATTGCAGGTGTTTGTCATGGTTTTGTGTGATGCTGTGGTCACAATTTTAAGGTCTTTCCAAGGACAGAATTCATGACACCATCCATATCCTCTCAGCCACATAGCTTCTAAGAAACTGCTAATTGTGATGGGTTATCTTTTTCATAAACATACTATACTTTTCAAGCTTTATTGCAGAACTTTTAAAGGCAAAGATTTGAAAAAATAATCCTTGGCATCTCCAGGCTAAACATAACCAATTATGAATTATGGATGAATATTTATGGTTTTACTTTACAATAATCTATGTTTTTTTAATCTATTATTTTCTGTTATTTTTTCATACTAAATTTATGTTTTGATGATTGTAATGCATAATACCATAGGTGTAATATTGCATGTAATGTTGGGAGCAGGTGTTGACTCCCTGTGTTACTGTGTGCAAGATTACTTCCTAATCTTTTGTTTTCTCATTTGTAAAGTGGGGGTGATTATAATCGTACTAACCTTTACTTACTCTTTCTAATCCTTAGTTTTCTCATTTGTAAAATGGAGATGATTATAATAGTACTAACCTTGTAGTATTGCAGTGAGGATGAATTAATGTATGGATAAAAAATAAGTGCTCTATTATAAAGATTAGTTATTATTTTTATCCAAAAAGTTATTTGTAGCACTCCTCTTAAAAGCAGTTCACTTTTCCTCATTTTGAATTTATAGCTTTTATTTGAAAATATATTTTTTAACATAATATTATGTTAAAATATCCTGTTCTGGGATTTTGAAATAGCTTTTGTCCTGGTATTTTCACTTTTAGTTCACATGTTTATCTTCTCATACCATGAATGAGCTAGAATCTCCTGGACTGTTTGACAGCATGTGAGTTGGATTGCAAATGAATGCCTTCAAAATTCACAATATGTAATTTACACTAGTTTGGCAGGTAATTGAAGCCCCGGCAAATCATTTCTCTTTTCATATCATTCATTTATTTTCGCAGAATAATTCAGAAAGACAAGGCTTTATATCATTAAGACCATCCTAGAAATAAATAAAATGTTACTATATTATCATAATTATATAGAAAATATCTATGAATAAAATTTCTGATAGAAATTCTCTCCAAAGTATTGATGGTTCTTAACACAAATAACATAACTTAGGGCAACCTTTTTGTCTTTCTATTTTATGTGTTAAGTCTTCTTTACCATTTCCCACTTTAAAATTAGAGCCATATTAGCATGTTATTTTAAAAACTTGTCTTTTGGGGGTCTTTGTTTTCAAAACTCATAAAAAACTGAAATTTATTTATAGCTTTTTGACTGCACAGGTGTTCTGATAGATTTACATTCTTATTTCCTCATCACATGTGTGTGTTACAGTCCAATAAAATCACCACAAGAGGCTTGCTTCATAGAGAATTAGAGTTGGATTTGTGACTCAAACAAGTATTAAGAAAAACATATTAATGTGCTTAGCATTACATGTGCCTCCATTTCCTTCTCTTTAAACTGAGGGGATAGGACACAGAATTGACACAGATGAATTCTTCTAGCTTTAAAATATTGTAAATTAAAAATTTAGTACATAGACGTCTTCTTTTCTTTTTCCTTTTTTAAATTTAAAGAAGTGGGGTACAATTCAGGATTAGATATACGGGTGGTCATTAGACATTCTCCTAATGCTTTTTATATAGGTACTGTGATGGTCTAGGGAATGTGGCCATCATCTCAGTTAGCTGAAGCAGAACTTTGTAAATTCTTATGTCATAAGGAAGCTATCATTGGAGACAGCGTCTGAAGGTTCTGACTAGTATTTCAAGATAAAACATGGATCTAAATCTGAAGAAAAGTGGCTCTTTGCAGTAATGCTTTTTGCAAAGTAAATAATTTTTGAACAATGATTCTAAACTTCTATGATTGTTTCTAAATTATCACCATTTATAGAACTAAATTAGATCAAGGATGTTAGCTGAAGGCTGGTGCCTTTATGAGTAAGCACCAGCTGAGTCCATCAATTCATTGGAGGAGGGGAGGATGGTGCATGGTGGTTGTGTCATAGAATATTTTATAAAATGAACATTTTATTTCATTCAGGTTATACTGGAGAACTTTGCCAATCCAAGATTGATTATTGCATCCTAGACCCATGCAGGAATGGAGCAACATGCATTTCTAGTCTCAATGGATTCACCTGCCAGTGTCTAGAAGGTAACTATTATTTATTATCCAGGAATACCTTTTACCTTTTCCATTTTAAACCATAATCTAATTTGATCAGCTTTGCACTTTAAACTTCTGTGAAACTTTACACAAGAAAACTTCCTATTTTGTTTCATTTATAAAACAAGCATAGGAGATAGTCCCCTCCTTTTTTTACTTTATGCAAAAAAGTAGGTTGAAAATTGTTTGAAGATTAGACAATCTAGGAATTGCTGTGATTTTATTTATACATTAAAAATGAATTACTGTAGTAAAATGGAGTCTCCTTCTAATGTCAAAATTTTTCTTAAGATTTCTATTTTGTTAAATTATTTGGTTTTTGATACCATTTAACATTTAAAATTCAACGTAAAGTTTATATGCTTCTGATTTTAAATCAACTTTATAAAGTCTTAGAAAATTCAACTCATCTAGAAAGTCACATCTTTAGGGCTACTTTTATTTTTAAAAATCAATTTTACTGTCAGCATAGTTTAACCCAAGGAAGTAGGCAGATAATCACAGCTATCAAGCTGGTGTCCAAGGAATTATTTTGTACTTTGAGGAAGTTTTGTCCCCATTTCTGCCTGGAGGGATGTTATGGAAGGGATTACTTTAAATCTTTAATGTTGTTAGAATAACATGATATTAGATTTTTAAAAAAAAAAACCAGCATGTAAACTCCTGATCCACAGAAGTGACACTGACAACTACGTAGAGTCACAGCCTCCGCAGAGATTAAATATAGAGCCTGAGTGTGTAGGGAAATATCTCTGTATTCAAAATTATCCCAGATTGCCTGTAGCTGAGACTCAGGGAGAGCAGTGATATGGATAGGAGTTGATAAGAGGCCACTGCCTCTCAGATAACCTGAGTGCTGGGAGCCTCAGGAGCTTCCCCTGTGATTGGCAGCACTTCATACTTTAATTTTGAAGAACTGAACATCAACTAAAGAAGGGAAGATGTTGTCTTCTTGGTCACCTGGGCAGGGCAGGATGACTGTGGCCCACCTAGCTAACTCCCTTTCTGGCTGTGTGTGCCGGTGATGAGTTCAGTGTGCTTGATGAGACCCGCTCTTCACCCTCTGCTTCTTCTTTTGCAGTGTGGGCTTGACCTTCTAAAACATAGGGGAACCTTGGAAACGTTGTCCAGTGCTGATGACTGAGCAAGCAGCACCAACTTTCACTCACATACAGAGTACTTTGCAGTTTTTAAAGCTCTCTCATACCCTCGATTAGTCTGTTCCCATCTAATTCTGATTGAAAGCCTTGCCCTTTAGTCAAGGGTGGACTTCAGGGTAGTTCTGGAATCAACTGTGATTTTTGTGAAGGAGCTTTAAGAACTCCAAAGTGCCTTATTATTGTTATTCGTGGGATTGTTTCCAGAAAGTTACAGAGAGGGAGTAATTTGCACAAAATCACATTGGTAATAATGGATGTCCTTAAAACGAGGATTTTTGCTTTCATTCATACTTCAATTTCCTGGTCGATAAAGATACAATAAACACTTCCTGTATACCAGGCACTGTGCTAGGTGCTAGGATATAATGCTAAGCAAAGCTGAGACAGCCCCTCCCATGGTGCATACACAGATAAGATTGTAATTACATGCACGGATAGGTGCCTCAAAGATGCACAAAAGGGATCTGCCTAGCCTTGGGAAATTGGGAGAGATGTCCACATGCAAAGACCTTGAGAGAGAAGATGGAGGAGATGGCACAGTTGAGGGCATGACTGAACTAAGAGGATGAGGAAGATCGTGCTGACAGCAGGTGGATGCGGATGCGTCCAGGGCAAGGCTTGCAGGGCTTGGTGGCTTCAGTGAAACATTTCATCTTTATCCTAGAGGGGAGGGAGTCCAAGGCCAAGGTTTGAAGCCCAGTTTTACCACTACTTACCAGCTTTGTTCCATGGGACAGATGACTTCATACCTCTGTGTGTCTTGGTGTTTGAATCTGTAAAATGGAAGTGATGATAATGCCTCGTTCATAGGGTCAGTATAAGAATTAAATGAGGTGATACAGACAGAGTGCTTAGCACAGTACCTGGCTCAGTGCTCAGTAAATTTTAGCTATTTTATTACTATTGTTTTCATAATTATTATTATTATTTAAAACATTGGTGAATTTAAATAGGGGAATTTGAGCTTTTCATTCTGGAACAGTACTGAACATAAATTGGAGAGAAACAAGAGTGGGAATAGGAGAAAAGTCTGGGGACTGTTGTGGAAGTTCAGGAAATAGATGTTGACTGTTAGAAATAGAAAGATGGAACTTAAAAGAGAGACCCTAATGAATTTGGGAGGACTTTGGAGGCAGATGAGGGAGCCTGGAGAAGGATGGGACCTGGACAGTGAGGGAGTCTGAGATGGCAAGTCTGTGGCTTCTCACTTTGTGGCTGGTTGTGCCATTCAGGGAGAAACAGGAAAACCAGAGCTGTGTTCTATTTTGAATGTGTTGGGTTTGAGAGACCCTTGTGACATCCAAGTGGATATGTCAGCAGGGCAGGTGCCGTATGAATCTGGACGAAGGATCATCCAGGGACATGTCTTCTTCATCCAGTGGCCTATCGATTCCTCCATCCTGCCTAAATAAAGCCTTAAGAAAATGCAATGCTCTAGAATAGAATAGAAAAGATGAACATGAACTTCCCACTTTGAAGACTTTAATTTAGAGGTTTATCTTCATTGAAGACTGGCCAGGAAAAAGAAGACTCTAATTATTATTTAGAAGAATTCACTGGAATGTGTTGAAGCCTCTTAACAGGAGCACATAGCTGGTGACTGCCATTTTTAAAACAGCCCCTCCCACCAGCCTATTCTTAGAGTGCATGTTTTTATCTGTCAGCAGCAACTAATATTTATAGAGCACTTTGCACTTTAAAAAGAGCCTTTGTCTCCAGGATCCTTCTCACATCAGCCCCACTATGAAAGCCACTCTGAGAAATACTTTACAACTATAGAACATTCCGGAGCTCTGAGCCCGCCCTTGATCCTCACCTGCCTCCTTTTCTGTTTCTCCTTTGTACATTTGTGTTGATTCTGTCTGTCCTTCTCCCTTGTGTTATTCTTTGAGGGGAAGAAATGTCTTTTATTATTCTTCTTGCCATCACCTACTCTCAAACTCTGCCCATAGGCCATGTCTTAAGTTACTGGGAGATTCATTAATATTTGGTAAATGATTTAGTTATAAAAGTCAACACTTAGCCGGGCTCGGTGGCTCAGCCTGTAATCCTGCACCTTTGGGAGGCTGAGGTGAGTGGATTGCCTGAGCCCGCGGGTTTGAGACCTACCTGGGCAGCGAGACCTCATCTCTACAATGAATCAAAAAATCAGCTGGGCGTGGTAGCGCATACCTGTAATTCTGGCTACTCAGAGGGCTGAGGCGGAAGGATTGCCGGAGCCCAGCAGGTCGAGGCTGCGGTGGCCGGGAGCTGCCACTGCACTCCAGTCTGGGCAACTGAGTGAGACTCCAACTCAAAAAAAAAAAAAAGGCAACACTCAGCTATCACTCACTATGTCTACAAACTAATTTGATCCCCACAACAATCTACGAAGCACATACTATTAATATTTCCATTTAACAGATTGGAAAACTGAAGCACAAGAGGGTAATAACTTGCCTGAGATCACACAGCCCGAAATGGAAACTCAGGCAACTTGGCTCCAGTGCTCCTAACCACTGTCCTCCACCATCTCTGAATATATTCTTTAGAGGAATTCCTGTTATGTTCATTATTAGAGATTATCTTTGTAACCATAATAATGAGTAGAACACATGCAAAGTAAACTTCTAGATGTCTCTGCCATTTAAATTTTTAAATCTGGAAGAAGTGAGAACATTTTCTTTCTTTTTTTTGTAAGTACAGTGAAATCCTTTTACAACAATTCCTCTCAGATCAGAAACCTGTTAAAAATCGGTTTTCCCTCAGGAGAGAGCTTTCACCATTGCACGTTTATATCCTTTTTCTTTTCCGACCTTTTCATCTTCATCCTGTTTCCTTCAAGGACCCTTTTCCACCTGATCTGGGCCAGGCCTTCAGAGGTTGAATTCCTTCCTGGGCACTGTTTCTTTGACTGCTGTCCTTCCCCAAAGTTCCGAGTCAGCAGCTCATGCCTGCTCTTCTATGCTGAGATCTTTATCCTTCATTAATGGGTTCTGCCTTTTCTTTGAATTTCTACTTAACTTTTACTAGATTTATATGGAAAAATCTAATTTCAGATTCAGGATACAGTGGAGACGATAAGAAATAAAAGTAAAATATCATGAGTGTTTTTTATATCTACCTTATTGAATCACAAATCACAATCAGCAACCACTGGCAGGATTGCTTATGAATTTACTGTTTACCTTGAGGTTGTCTTTATGTTTGCTTCTAACTTTGAGAGTCTTAAATTTTAAGCAAAATGCATTTAATTCTGAAGATGTCTGTAATATTTAGGATCACTGCATATTGGTATTTAAGTAATGAATATATATATGTAAAATTTGAATACTATCCAGTCATCATCGTTACTTTAGCCTCTCAATTTTTATTCCCCACCCCTTCAGGATGCACATAGCAATCAGAGACCTAAGTGAGAATATGGGGCTTTGTGCACTATTTTGAGGAAATGTTATTTTATATAATACATTTTATATTTTTATTTATTTAAAAAATTTTTTTGAGGCCAGGCTCCATGGCTCAGCCTGTAATCCCAGCATTTTGGGGGATTGAGGCAAGTGGATTGCCTGAGCCTGTGGGTTTGAGACCAGCTAGGGCAAGTCGGTGAGGCCGCGTTTCTACAATAAATCAAAAATTAGCCAGGCGCAGTAGCGTGCGCCTATAGTTCTGGCTACTTGGAAGGCTGAGGCAGAAGGATCACCAAAGCCCAGCAGGTCAATGCTGGGGTGGCCATGAGTGCACTCCAGCCTGGGCGACAGAGTGAGGCTCCAAACAAACAAACAAACAAACAAAAAAGGAATTTTTTTTTTGAGTCAGGATCTTACTACAGGCTGGCGTCCAGTGGCC